CTGCATGGATGTTCAGTAAGTAAATCCAGATGGGTTTACTAATTGGAAAAAGATACTGGCGTTTGAAGTAGTGTACTTAAGAAAGGAAATTTCATTTCTTTTGTTGCTTAAGTGAGCCTTGGGGTTTGGGGGCACTGCAGAGAAAGCTTATATTGAATTTGTATTCTTTCCCTTCAACTTGAGCTGCTTCATCAGATCAGCTGCTGAGGTTTAGGTGCTGTTTTGGCTGGGGAAGCCCTGGAGCAGGAAATGGTGGACTGGGAACACCCATCCACCCTCCTGCTGCACTCCCCGGGACCTGCTGGGCCCATCTCAGCAGCATCACGCAGCCTCTGCTCTAATTTTCTACCTTTTTCCTGCAGCTCTCATATTTTTTCCCCCATTTTTGCTTCATTTTTCCCCTTCAAAGGCAGTTGTCATGCACCAGGGCTGCTGGAGCAGACTGCACACAGGGAGAAGCAGACCCTGTTCACTTAGCATCTCTTTCATCAGTGCCCAGGCAGTTCAAGTCCTGTTCAAGTCCTCTCTCTGATGAAAGGGAGAAAGGGAGCTGGGGAGATAAGAAGAAGCCAAACCCTTAGGGACTGGTATAAAGAGAGAGTGTGAGCTGGGTTGTGGGATTGGTACTGATGCTGCATATGGTTTGCTTCTGTCTCTGGTTGTGTCCCTGCAGCCAGGAAATTCACTTTTTCCCTGCTACTGCTGATGTACTGGCTGCCTTCAGAAAGTCCAGCTTTGTCCCACCTTTTCAGGCTGCCCTGATCCATGTCTGTCCCTCTATACCAAGGGAAAAGCTCCATAGGAATAGCCAGGTCCCATTGTAAGAGCACAAGTGGTTTGCTGGTGCTTTACCCTATGAATGTTCTCCTTGTCCCTCCTTCCCTGAGCAGAAGCAGATGCTGTGAAGGAGGGATGATGTATAAAACCTCTCCAGCCATGAAACCCATCGTGATTCATGGGGGTAATTCAGCCAGAGCCTCGCATGTGCATCCAAAAGGTTCATTAAGTCATTGCACCTTCTGTAACAAGAGCCTCCTTCTGCAAAATGGGATGTTCACCAGGTTCAGATGGTTCCAACTGCATTTGTTGTAACACTGACATGTTTGCTCCATGCTTGGTCCAGAAAATTGCTGCTTTCAAAAGACATCAACTCATTTTGAGTTTTAATAGCCAGCCCTAATGATGAACACCTCTGGCAATGTCTATGTTGATGTAAAAGATCCTAATGCCCCTTTCTGGAGCGTTTCAAATGGTTATTGACCATCTTGTCAGGCTGGGTTCTGTGCTTTGGTTTTTATAGTCATGGCTAAATGTGGATTTATATACACAGAGCTTCAGAAATAAATAGAACTGGAGCACATAATCCCTCATCAGCTGATGAAATCCCTATTTCACAGGTAGGGCCGTTCCCCCCCCACGTTATTCTGGTTGTAGCCTTACTCCTTGGATTAGGATTTTTGGCTTTACAGAGCTAAATGGAGCCTGGTGGTTTGTTCTCCTTTGCTCCTGGGTGGTGTCGCTGGGAGTAGATGTGTTCCTTTCCTCCTGCTTTCCAAGAAAGATGTAGAATTATCCTGGTTATCTTTGCAGGGCTCTGCTGCACTCCTACACTTACCACAGCCTGCAGTAAATATCAGGTTGCTCTGGGTATAAATCATGAAGATTTCATACTCCGAACAACCTGATCCCTCAGGAAATGTCAACCTGTGACCTACCAGCAGAGAGCCCTGGCTTTGTGTGACCTGTGCTGTGTCAGTGCTGACCTTCTCCATCTCCCAGGGTTCTCAAGATGGGGATCTTTGTGTCGTGTATCCCATCTGTTTGCTGTTGCTCATTTCCACCTTGCCGGGGGAGCAGAGCCTGTTTTCACACATCGTGGTGCTTACATTATTGCTAATAGGGAGGAGGAGGAGAACCAGGCTGCAGCAGCACCAGCAAAACAACTCCCAAATTCCTTGGCTGGGTTTTATTTCAAGGTACTCTTGAGTTAGCA